AAATAAAAATAAAATCAAAATAAAACAGAAATTAAAGCGAGTGCTACAAGCGCTCGAAACCGAATGAGGCTTCAATCTGATGACCCCCTATATATAAGGGAAAAGGGTCAGTGTTGGAAAGTGTCATGAGAAATAATGCTATATTAACGCGCAGTTGGCGTTTTTGTGCAAAATTTGCCCAATGATATATACTTATAACACTTCGTTGCCAGCGAAAATAGCTGGAAATGCCAAGCACTCTTGTCCATTTACAGCATTTCAAAGCAGTACGGCAAATAATACTCCTTGAGTTTAGATATAGTTATGTGTAATTCCTCTCTAGTATGTGGTGATGAAGCTTAGGCTTTGGAAAATGTCGCAATGATGGAAAGTCTAAATAACAGCTGTGCTTGCGAAAAATTAGAGATTTGTTGATTTGACCATTACTGATAACATGGTGTGAGGAGCACACAATAAAGATAGCTCAAAAGATATTGAATTCTTTAAAATAAATGAATATTATAATTCATTCAAATATGTACAACTTAAATAACTGTAGAATTTTTAAAACTATAATTTTAGAAAGTTTTGTTTCCTATTTTGGACACATATTATATTTGTATTGCCCTTCGTCTACAAAGGATGAAAGCTTTACATTTGTGCGAATCGCTGTATTTAAACAAATACTTTAATATAATGTATTGCAACGTTATATTTTTCTAGTTTATACCACAGATCTACTCGAAATATCGTACTATACTGTATATGTATTTTCTACTCAATCAGAACTAAGTTCTGTTATATTTTGTTGAGTTTATGCAACAGTTCTATTCGAGAAAGCGTACTATCTAGATGTGTTTTCTATCCAATCAGAACTAAGCAAATTTTGCTCTTGTCTTTCCAGTTTATAGTACAGTTCTGCTCGAAATATCGATGTATTTTCTATTCGATGAGAAAAAAGTAAAGTGATTTTCCATTATTCAGTGCCTGCGGCTGACACAGTAAGTAAGTTTGGTAAGTATTATGTTGTGTGGTCGACTTTATATGGCAAGCATTTTTGTAGGGAGCCGTTTCACGTTAAAAATACTCTTAATAATTTTAAGAAAATATAAATTATTATTAAAATATAAACTCACGTTTTATGTGCAGTTTGAAAACATTCTTATTTGCCAAGCCAAGTTCTATTCTTGCTGCTCACCGTACATACATACATTCATACATACAAGTATGTAAGTGCGAGAATTGTTTGCAAACTAAAAAAAAATATGCAACAAACGAAAGACGAAAGAAAACAACGAAACAAGCGCGCGGCTGATGTTATCGCACAGTTTCTTCACACAAAAAAAATATGCAACAAACAAAAGACACACAACAACGCAACAATAAATCGCACTCGGCTGATCTAATCGCACAGTTTTTATGAATAACGGTTAATGCGATATAGCAAATATCAAGGAAATTATTTCGCGATGTTTCGCGAAAATAATAGTTACATGCCCGGCCGACAAGTGCACTGCGCATTTAACGAACAGCTGATCGCAGTATCTTCAGTGTGACCACACGACCTACAGAAAATAGGGTAACACTCTGTAAACACGCAATCAGGTCGAAGGCTAATGCAAATTTTACGATAATGTAGCGTTTTCTTAGCTAAAATGAATTGCGAAATTAATAATAATTTGTATTAAACAAAGCACTTCCAGCGCCGGCCTTAGGTCTTCATTTTTTCCTTCTGTTTTTTTCCTCGTAAAATGGCTGTGTCGTTAACTTTAATAAATGATAATCACACTTATTGTATTCTGTTTGGTAGCGCACACTAGTTTATTATCTTTTATGCAAACCATATGTACATACATATGTATGTATGTACATATACGTAATACATGTCTGTTCATATATTCTGTGCACCTTTGTTGGCACAAAGTGGACCATTTTTTACAATTTATATTCATTGGCATTGTGATATTTTAACTACTACACTTAAAGCTTTTAGCGGTTATAATTTGTTCACAACAAAAAAAAAAAACACAAAAAAATGCAACAAACAAAACACACGACAACGCAACAATAAATCGCACTCGGCTAATCTAATCGCATTACTTATTATTAACATTACTTATGAATATCAAATACTAAACCAATTATTTCCCGGTGTCTCGCGAAAATAATAACAACGTGCCCGGCCGACAAGTGCAGTACGTATGAGGCGAACAGCTGATCGCAGTGTCTTCAGTGCGACCACGTGGCCTACGGAAAATTATAAAAATTATATCGGATCGAAGGCTAATTTAAACTTAAAGATTCTAAACTAGCGGTTTTTTTTGCTAAAATTAATTGAGTAATTACTACTACTTTTTACTCTTAAAAGAAATAAGTATAATAAATAATGATCAGACTTTTTGAATTCTGTTTGGCAGCGTACAACATTATGCTATTTTTTTGCAAGCAAAAACAAGCTCAGCATTAATGCTCGGACGGCTCATATACATACATATGTATGTATCAGAATTTGAAGAACCATAGACCTTGTGAATGGTATTGCCCGTCTTAACCCGGCTCCATATAATGTTTCAAATTGTATTTATTTTGTGTGTGCATGTCCTACCCATATGTATGTTTTCACCTTATTAGTTACCAGTAGGAAGGTATTTAAATGAACATTTTCTGTTCTAGACAAATAATTGTTCAGTAGTCCGTTACATTTTTGTTCTTGCCAAAATATTTCGTTAAACGTACACACACATAACCACTATAACTAATATTTTTTAAGCCGTTTTCCCCCTCTTGGAGCTTGAATTTTCCAAAAGTCTTTGTTAGCGTGCCCTACACTAGGATGGATACTATGAAAGGATACTTGAGTCCAAATTTCAGCTTCCTTGCTCTTATCGTTTAGGCTGTGCTTAATTGCCAATCAGTCAGTCAGTTAGGACAAACTCTTTCATATATAAAAAAGGAAATATCGAACTTATTAATCAGAAAATAAAATGAGATTTTTTTTTAAATAATAAATAAATAAGACTTTAAGTTAGGCAAAATGAAAGCCAAGCCCATTGCTTGAGAATGGAAATAATTCAACAAATTGCAAGAGAATAGGGAAAAGTGATGCCCACTTTAAACTGGGAAGGATGAAGGATAGCTGATGCACCCAATCAGTCAATTAGTTAGGACAAACTCTTTCATATATATAGAGAAATATAAAGAAAGCAAATATCGAACTTATTAATCAGAAAATAAAATGAGAAATGTTTTTTTTTTTTAAATAATAAATAAATAAGACTTTAAATTGGGGAAAATGAAAGTTAAAGCCCATTGCTGGAGAATGGAAATAAAACATTAGAAAATTATGTTCAATCAGAAAATAAAAATGGGGAAAATGAACGTCCCATTACTAAGACTTTAAATTGGGGAAAATGAAAGTTAAAGCCCATTGCTGGAGAATGGAAATAATTCAAAAAATTGCAAGAGAATAGGGAAAAGTGATGCCCACTTTAACCTGGAAAGGATGAAGGATAGCTGATGCACCCAATCAGTCAATTAGTTAGGACAAACTCTTTCATATATATAGAGAAATATAAAGAAAGCAAATATCGAACTTATTAATCAGAAAATAAAATGAGAAATGTTTTTTTTTAATAAAAAATAAATAAGACTTTAAATTGGGGAAAATGAAAGTTAAAGCCCATTGAAAATAATACATTAGAAAATTATGTTTAATCAGAAAATAAAAATGGTGACGATGAGCGTCCCATTACTAAGACTTTAAATTGGGGAAAATGAAAGTTAAAGCCCATTGCTGACGAATGGAAATAAAACATTAGAAAATATTGGTTAATCAGAAAATAAAAATGGTGACGATGAGCGTCCCATTACTAAGACTTTAAATTGGGGAAAATGAAAGTTAAAGCCCATTGCTGGAGAATGGGAATGAAACATTAGAAAATTATGTTTAATCAGAAAATAAAAATGGGGAAAATGAACGTCCCATTACTAAGACTTTAAATTGGGGAAAATGAAAGTTAAAGCCCATTGCTGGAGAATGGAAATGAAACATTAGAAAATTATGTTTAATCAGAAAATAAAAATGGGGACAATGAACGTCGCATTACTAATAGAAATGAAGAATTGGAAAAAAAAATGCCATAGATGTTGAACTATTTGTACATGCACAGTAAATGCCAACAAACTTAAAGTTCAAAACAAAACCAAACTAAAAAACAGCCGTATTAAAAAATTGAAATATTTAAATAAAAATAAAATCAAAATAAAATAGAAATTAAAGCGAGCGCTACAAGCGCTCGAAACCGAATGAGGCTTCAATCTGATGACCCCCTATATATAAGGGAAAAGGGTCAGTGTTGGAAAGTGTCATGAGAAATAATGCTATATTAACGCGCAGTTGGCGTTTTTGTGCAAAATTTGCCCAATGATATATATAACACTTCGTTGCCAGCGAAAATATTTGGAAATGCCAAGCACTCTTGTCCATTTACAGCATTTCAAAGCAGTACGGCAAATAATACTCCTTGAGTTTAGATATAGGCATGTGTAATTCCTCTCTAGTATGTGGTGATGAAGCTTAGGCTTTGGAAAATGTCGCAATGATGGAAAGTCTAAATAACAGCTGTGCTTGCGAAAAATTAGAGATTTGTTGATTTGACCATTACTGATAACATGGTGTGAGGAGCACACAATAAAGATAGCTCAAAAGATATTGAATTCTTTAAAATAAATGAATATTATAATTCATTCAAATATGTATAACTTAAATAAATGTAGAATTTTTCAAACTATAATTTTAGAAAGCTCTGAAAGTTTTGTTTCCTATTTTGCGGCTGACACATAGTAAAATATAGTAACTATTGTTGGATAGTAAGTCCCATTTCCTAGCCATTAACAACATTATTGCCTATGACTTTCTGTAACTCTGTTTGTTGTAATTGCAGGACACTTTTTACATACGAAGCAAGTGGAACTACGGGGGGAGGTTATGGCGACTTTTAATTAAATTTGAAGACTGAGAGTGCTGTTTGATGGTTGCATTTAATTTTGTTTTGCCTAAAAATTTATAGGATGCGTGCGTATTGCTTGGACAACGACCGATGGATGTGTTGTTGCTCGTCGTTCGGGACTCTGTCCCAAGGGCCATTGCAGGCCGCGGGTCTCAGCTCGCAGCTCGGAGCTCGGGGCGCACATGTTGCAATTTTTACAGCTCGACAAAAACATACAGTTAAAGAGAGTGAGAGAGAAAGATTGAGGGAGTGAGCTACATTGTTGCACGTCCATCTCGCATCCTGTGTGTACCTGTTTGGAGGAAGAAAGGATTGACAGAGGGCGGCAGGGTGTAACACTCATTTGGTAACGCTCACCTGCCATTTCCGAATTCTGACACATAGTTATACCTTCCATCAGCTTGAGGATTTGAGTGCGGTGTGAGGGCGGGATGGTCGGGTTCTGTAATTAAATTCTCAACTATGCTAACTACTTGCACTGCTTGGCATGTTACATTCCTGCATTGTTCCCCGTGTTCCCCTTGACGACGGCCTTCTGCTCCTTCACCGATTTGGCTCGCGAAATGGCCATATAATTGCGTAAGTTGTTCGCTTCCTTGGGTGGCTGCAAGAAACGCGGCAGACTGCAGGCTCGAGCACGCAACTTGGCCTTGAGCTGATCCATTTCTTGGCCTAGTGGCACATCCCTAGGCATCGATTTGCGCACTCCTTCGCGAAAGCTCACGGACTTGGAGCGCAGACGGGCGCCCCTGAGGGTATACTCAGGATACAATTTACGACTGGACGTGGACATTGGAACAAACTGTGTAACAAAGGAGACACATTTCTAATTAGTTTTCTTCTTTTTTTTTGTGAACAAATTTTAGTTTGAAGAACCAATATTTTCCATCTGTAAAACTTTTTTACTTCTTAAAAGATTAGAAATAAGAAATGTTCTAAAAAAAAAATAGCGAGTGATGAACTTTATATCGAAAAAGATATATCGGTGATTTAAAAAGAAACTACAAACGAAAAACCTTGTTAAAATAAAGAGAAATTTTTTAAAAATATTTCCCCCATTTGAGAGCCTCAATGCTTCAGAATGCGTTTTCAGCTTTACTCGATTTCATCGATTCATCTCTCTATATGAGCTTTCCAGAGCACCTAGTAAAAATTTATATACAATAAAAGTTTTTAAAATCAATTTTGGTCATTTGAGAGCCTCAGTACATCCGAAAAATTCCAATGCCTGCGAAAAACAGAAATCAAAAAAATCATTTCCCCAATTTATCACTTTTTTTAAAACTTGTTCTCAGTGAATTATTTTAGAAATTTTTGGGAAATTTATGAGCTGCTCAGGTAGAACGGAAAACCTAGTTAAAACAAACTGTATATACTCAATGGAAGCTTTTGAAAATTATTTTCCATTTCAGTTTTACTGAGAACAACAAAAATCTTAATTCTTTTTTTCACGATTTTTTCTCCGTGTAGTTTTTTAAAATGTTGCAAAATATGTGAGCCTACGTGAATGGAAAACCTAGTTAACATAAAGGGTACATAGACAATGGAAGTTTTTGAAAATCATAATTATTTTTTATTAACGTTTTTTTCTTCTTAAATTCTTTCAAAATGTTGCTTATATATGAGCCTATCTGAGCGGAAAACCTAGTCAAAATAGAGGGTATATACACAAGGGAAGTTTTTGAAAACTATTTTCCTCATTTGAGAGTCTATTTCCCCAATTAATCACTTTTTCTAAAGTTTTTTCTCTGTGAATTCTTTCAGAACTTTCGCGAAATTTATGAGCCTACCCCCCGGGGCATACAGAGCCAATGTCGCATCCATTAAAACTGTCATACTTTATATATTTATGTACATATATGACAGAGTCAATTAACCCTTTGAAGGCAAAGGTCAAGCACAAACCGCTCAAAAGCTGCCCAATAATAATAATAATTGCACAAAATGTGTGGAAAAAAATGAAAAACTAGTTTTCTCATTTTGCAGCATCCTTTGGCAGATCACGAAGGTTAATTGCTGAAGCAACAGGCAAACAACAGCCTCATTTGCAATTGCCGCAAAGCTGCTGACCATCACACATCCTCGTAATCGTGCATTGTTTGAGAGACCCGGAGAGCAGACCCAGTTCGGGTCACTCAAGCGGCCTGTCTATGCCGCTACGATGTGATTCTGTGTGATGCTGTGAAACGGCATTGAATTTTGCCCTTTTTCCACCCAGAAATAAATAAATACATACTATAGATGAGCAGCAGCAGTAGAAGAAGCAGCAACCCTTGTACGACCGGTTAGGCCCCCCCACCCCTCTCCTCGCGGCCTGTGTGGTTTGCTCCGTTCGTGTCCTAATGTCGCACTATTTATTAGCCTTAGGATTAATAAATTTATTTGGTCACCGTCTTAATGAAATCAGCAACAAGGGCAAGCATTTTAGCTGAGACCGTTTTGCATTTGGAGGGAGGGGTGGGGGGTGGAGCATGTTTCGGGCATATTCAATCTGCTCGAAATCAGTCGAGGCACGAATTTCTTCAATGGGTGTATGTGGATGGATGTATGACCGCAGGGGCTGCCCCATGTGTGTTTGTTTGTGTGTGTTTTTGACGTAACGCCAGCAGATATGTATCTTCTTGAGGCCCAACACACACACCCACACACACCCACACCCACACACACCCTCGATATACATATGGGCAAATAGTCGGGCAGTCAGGCAGGCTGGCTGGCTGGCAGGCAGGCAGTTGGCTAGCAAATGAACCCAAAAAGCAGCAGGCAGCCAAAACAGACAGCGGCCAGGGCAAGGCGGCTCAGAAGTTGCCAATTTGCCTTTTTGAATTTACGCATAGCTAAAAGTATCCTTTCGGAAACCACAAATATTTACCCAGCTCAAGGCTTGGGCTCGTACTCAGGCGCAGGCTCAGGCTCAGGTCTGCGGTCGCCATCGTACCGCCCGCCCCCAAATTTTAAAAGTTGGCGACGCCGCCATAGTCAGAGCAGAGTCGTGGTCGTGGTCGTGGTCGCTCTGGTCCTAGTCCTGCTCTGGTCCTAGACATGCTCGTAAAAGTGTCCTGTCCAACCCCCAAGGCTACTACTACAACCATGTTGTTCTTGTCGTTGTTGTTTGCCGTCGTCGCCGCTGGCTGCTGGCTGCCGGCTGACTGGCTGGCTGGCAATTTTCAAAATCTGTCGGACCATCATTTTCAATCTCATGGCCCACAACTACAACAAGGGCGACAAGGACCCCAACCAGCATCAACTCAGCTTCAGCGTCAGCTCAGCCGGCACCAAAACCCAAAAAGCCGTCGACCAGAACTTATTTTTCCAACTGACACTAGCCAAGTTAGACCAATACTCATATTTACACCACACACACACACACTCACACACAGAGCGGGATAATGTGTGGGCTTGTGTGTGTGCGTGTATGTGTGTGTGTGTGTGTTATGTGAGCACTTTGCGCCGCTTGCAAAGGACTTTTGAAATGAGATTAAAAACGGTAAATTCCTGCAAGGGTTCACTCCTTCGTTGCTTCGTTCGGCTAAGAGTAATGAATGCGGTTTCTGCCCAAAGTCAAATTTTAGAAAGTGTTTTATTTGACTAGGTTATATGGCACACACACACACAAATACACATACACACTCCCCTTCACCTTCCCCACCCCCCACACAGACAACACAACACACCCAAAACACTAACATAAGTAAATACTTACATGAGAACGCAACGCGCAGACAAATAAAAATTTCCGGAAATTTTTTTCAAACTTTTGAGCCAAATTCAAAAACTATATAATTTTTACTTCTCTCTTTTCTCTCGTTAGTTATGTACATTTATTTATTTCGAATTTGTCTTCTAAGCCTCTCATGTCAGCCTGCTGGGTTCAAAGCTTTTCGGCGTTGAGTTTGAAATTTTGAAACTTGAACTCAACGCGCCTTCCAATTAGGACATGATGCAAGCCTTGAATCCAAAAATTTTAATGTGATCTACAAAATATCGATACCCAAAATATTTCTATCTTTTCTCTCGTTAGTTATGTACATTTATTTATTTCGAATTTGTCTTCTGAGCCTCTCATGTCAGCCTGCTGGGTTCAAAGCTTTTCGGCGTTGAGTTTGAAATTTTGAAACTTGGACTCAATTAGGACATAATGCAAACGTTGAATCCACAAATTTTAATGTGATCTGCAAAATATCGATTATGTGCATTTATTTAACATCGATACATCGATTCTTCACCGTTAAAAGTAGCATCGATTTATTGGATTTCTAGTCGAATCTAGCTCTACTTCATGGCTTAGCTACGTCCATCAACAAACGATTTAAGCGAAGGATTATATATTGCAGGGAATAGTCGAAATTAAGGATGTACGTCGAAGGGAAAACACCGATGTTGATGCCCTTCGATGTTCCTTTTAAAAAATCGATCGAAGCATCGCAAAATACATCGATGTTTTAAAACATTGAATTTCCATAGAAAAAGGGGCTCATATTAGGCAGAAAATAAAGGGAGATGTTTGTATCAAAAGAAGCATTTAAATCATACTATTAGATATATAATAAAATATAATAAAATACAAATAATGTTTTCATTAAAAAAAATTAAAATACAATGTACCTTCTTCGGTAAACCACACAAATAAATATGACCGCTCGATGGTTGAACAAACATCGATGGATCGACGATGCATTTTAAGCAACAAAAAAAAAACATCGGAAACATCAATCGTGTTAAACAATATCGTGTTAATAACATCGTCGATACATCGATGTTTTTTGCATTCCTATTCCAGCTCTACTTCTCATCTCATCTCGTCAATCAACATTTTTAAATCGATTTAAACGATCATATTTCATTGAAGGATTAAACAAATATTAAAGGGAATGGCCGAATTAGTCAAATGGGCTCTTAAATTTGTCTAAATATTCTATAGTTAAGGCTATAATTGAATTTTAAATAAAGCTGTTTGTTTCTTAACTGCCGGGTACTTTAAGGAACATTATAGCTGGCCCTACGTAGTCTGGAGTCTGGGTCTAAATGGCTCTAAGAGCTAGTGTTACATACATATGTTTAAGCAACAGGACCATTAAGCCAATTTAATCTAAAATATATATTCTTTTGATGCTTTCATAGAACCACAAATAACTAGTTCATAAGCTGTCGGGTACTTTACAGAACATTAATTTCTGGATGTAAATGGCTCCATACAGTCAGGGGCCCGGAACAAAAGAGAACCTTGAAATCGTTTCAATCTATTATATATTTGTTTGCATATTTTGTAATATTTCATGCAGGTGTAAGGTTTTCTGAATCTTCATACTTAACGGCTTGATCAAAGTACAAAAAATATGTTAGTTTCTTAGTTATCGCATTCTATATAGAGCTTTATAGCCTGGCGCAAGGAGCCTAGATCGTGGGCTTAAATGTCTCCTATAATTGGCATTTCATACAGTCTTGGGAAACCTTTAAATTGTTTCAATCTATTATATATTTGTTTGCATATTTTGTAATATTTCATGCAGGTGTAAGGTTTTCTGAATCTTCATACTTAACGGCTTGATCAAAGTACAAAAAATATGTTAGTTTCTTAGTTCTATATGGAGCTTTATAGCTGTCCTTAAGGAGCCTAGATCGTGGGTTTAAATCTCTCCTATAATAGGTGTTGCATACGCTTAGGGGCAAGGCATGAGGACACTCGTTTCGCCCGTTTGCGAAATCAAAAACATTTGAAAATTTGTACACATTTATGCAACTCATTTGATTTACGATTCAGCCTAATGGGTTGGCCGGCTTAGAGGCATCGACAACGAGCACGTACATGCCACAAGCTGCTTGCTAGGCTGCTACGACAAGGTCGCGAGTGCTAACCTTTAATCTCTGCGTGCGTGCCTGCCTAGGCGCCGCATATTTATCGTCGTCGTCGTCGCTGTTATAGTCGCTGTCGTCCACGTCCACGTCCTCGTCTTCCTCCACAATGCTGCCATTGCCAGCTGAGACGAGCGGCGATTCAAACGTGCAATGTTTTAAAACATTCGCCCAGCCGTCGTGGTTCGACCCGGTCTCGGTCCCAGTCCCGTTCCCGCTCCCGGACCGCTCCAATTGCAATGGGTGGTTCCAGTCGCAAAAAAACAAGTTTATAAGGGGTTGCAAAAGCATCCGACAAGCGAAGCTCAACAACAAATTACCAAAGGCCAGCATTGTAGCTGACCGGCCGACCAGGGACCAGCCACCATCGGCCAACTGGCAACGGACATGAGGCAGTCTCGGCCCGTTGTGTGTAAATATTTTGAGGCACGCGTGTGTTCCTTGCTCTCATTAAATAGGTTTTGCCAATCAACCCCTTATGCTGACTCTTCTGATATAAATGAGAATGCATGCACATTTAAAACAGCCCGATATTTTCAGATGTTTATAAAATGAATGTTGGATTCGTGTAGCAAACAATTAAATACAAAAAGTTTATGTAAATCCTTTCCTTGGCTGAATGTAGTTCATATAAGCAATTAATTGTAATTGAAAAACCTGAATAGTGTTATGTATTATAAAAAGTTTGTGCTGGTGTCTGTTAGGAAATAGAATCAAGAATTTGGTTATAAATACAAGCAAGCACGAGCGATTCCAATAATAACTACAACATCCAACATTTAAATGCATTTAGTACAGTCTCCAGCCTAGTACTAGACTCGCTGACTAATACTATTCCCCCGCCAGTCCGAAGATCGCTTTTGACCTTGATCGGACATCAAAAAAATGCTCCAAACTTTGTTGTTTCATAAGCGGTTTAGTTAGTTCGAGTTTTCGCCGAATTTTCGTTTATACGAGTATATCAAGTATATCAACAAGGATCGATGGCATTTCATCATTTCAAAACCATTAACATAATGTTCTGACAGGAATAAACAGGATACTCAGCTTACTAGTTATTTAACCGGAAATATAATTACTTTGAACATTATTCTTCTTTACCTAAAAAAACTGTTTTTCTCTAACGCCCTTCAAGAAAAATGAGCTAATTATAAAATTATAGGTGTTGTTCTTCTTCTTAATAATAATAATAATAATATAATCAAATTTATAATCTTGTTAGAAGTGTATTACACGATAATGTTTGTAATCGTTTCCTTAGTTGTCCGAAGCATTTAAAAATTACCAAAATTAAACTTAGGACTTGCTTACAAAATTATTAAATATATACATATAAGTATGTTGAGTGTTAACCAAATAAGCACGATTACTAAATACATACAATGATAAACAAAATGTTTTGGGACTTCCCGGTTAGAGCTACCAACGGAGTAGAGTACTCTCCAGGAGTAGAGTACTCTCCAACTCATTTAAAGGTTTCATAGGCTCCTGTAAGTCTACAAGAGTTATGAGTAGAAATCTTTTATGTTGTAGAAATTTTGGCGACCATGTCTCTATAAACTCTAGAGCGTAATAACTTTCATCAGCACGGATATATAAATATATTAAGTAATAAGAACTGGAAGGGGGCTTGCATGGAAGCATTTCGGTATAGTTAAAAAAGTATTGGTTTGAAAAAAAAAAGTTATTGTAAATTAAACCTAAACGTGAAGGAGTTTTTTGGTTCATAAATGTTATTAATTTATTTGGGGCTGGTTTTTTGACACAATCACGACGAAATAACTATTTTGTTGCAACATTTAAGTTGTAGGAATTAATTAAGCAGACAAGTTGAAATAAAAGCTGTACAACTAAATGCTGCTCTTAAAAGCTATACTTAGAGGTCCTCTAGACACTAATAGCCCTCAAAAGCTGGTCGAATTCATGGGAAGACTTTGTTATATCTGAAAATGTTCGAAAATCAAATTGAGTTCCCTTGATATTTTAATATTTATTTTAAGCAGATATTATTGCTCTATGGGTCTTTATATTGAAAACTGATCGATTTAAGTTAAGCTATTTAGGTCTTTATTTTATTCAAAAATGTTCGAAAATAATGTAGTACTTGAAATTTTTACTTCTATTTAAGTCACGTTTTGAAATAGTTTATAAATAAAAGCTGTGAGTATCGCCTTTGGGGATACACTTGGAACACTTTTGGACACTAAAAGCCTTTAAATTAAAACCTGGTTGCTTTCATTAAAGGCATGGAAGTCTCTGTTTTATCTAAAACTGTTTGAAACTAATGCGAAATTCCAGTTTCCTTTTTCAATAATGGAAATTTTTACTTCTATTTAAGTCATGTTTTGAAATAGTTTATAAATAAAAGCTGTTATTACTGCCTTTGGGGATACACTTGGAACTCTTTTGGAGACTAAAAGCCTTTAAATTAAAACCTGGTTGATTTCATTAAAGGCATGGAAGTCTCTGTTTTATCTAAAACTGTTTGAAACTAATGCGAAATTCCAGTTTCCTTTTTCAATAATGGAAATTTTTACTTCTATTTAAGTCATGTTTTGAAATAGTTTATAAATAAAAGCTGTTAGTATCGCCTTTGGGGATACACTTGGAACTCTTTTGGACACTAAAAGCCTTTATTTAATGCATTGAAGTCTTTGTTTTAACTGGAAATGTTCGAAAGTCTTGAGAAATTCGAACTTTGTGAGTTCCCAAAGGGTTCGTTTACGGCCGGACATCTTGAAATTTATGTTGTATTGGGCAGTGGGTGGGCAATTCATTCAAAAGGCTCACGAACATACAAATCCACACACACACACACACACATATATACATACACACACAGAGACACCCATAGACGACATGGATGTGCTCCATAATGGCGGCTGCGGGTGGATTTACGGCTCGACGGTCCGTTAGCAGGCAGCAGCAGTATTCGGACTTTGGACATGGGACGGGAGGCGGCGGTGGCGGCGGTGGCGGCTGTTGGTAGCCGGTGGTGTTTGTTTGCCTTCGGCAATAACCCTTTTCTGTGGACAGCCATGCCAGCCACACATACATACACACACATATACACTATAAGTGTGTGTGTGTGTTTGTCCGCTGCTGTC